ATAGTGGTCACCTGCAGCCTCGGACCCAGAACCTCGAAGGTCACTCCCAAAGGGCCGTCACTGACTATGGGTTCTAGCTCTTCAGACTCTGATATTTTGAGTCCCCACATCAACATCAAACTAGGTCTTTAGACAGACGCAAGTTAATACATTGAACAGAAAACACCACTCTCCTTTTGGTTTCCTTAAACAGATGGTGATCTGTTTTGCTCCGGGAGAAACTGGTGTCCTGTAGTATGATAAGCAATGAGATATTCGGGGGATAAAAAAAAATCAGAACCCCTCAAACCCCTCAGAGAAAGAGGTAGTATAAAAATGCACCCTTTATGCTTGATCTCATTATTGCTGTTACTAGTATTCTAGACTACTAAATACATCCACAGGTTTAAATCTTTAGAAAAACCGACTCCCTTCACTTCCGTCTTCTGAAGTCATAAATCGCAATTCGTTTCCTAGAGCTCCTGCCATTTGCAGCGAGCTCACAGCATTACACAGTCAGCACACAGAGCCTGGGGCTGCTATCCAACCGCCAAGACAACCGTTGAGTCCACAAAAGAGTTCCTCCAACGTAGACACCTGGCTTCACAGCAGCAGAGCAGGAAGACGTAGGTTCGGGAACCAGGCCGCACCGGTTCAAACCCCAGCTCCTCTGTGACCTTGGGCGAGTTACTTAACCTATGTGCTCCCGTTTCCTTGGGTGCAAGTTAGGAACAGTGAGTCCCTGCCTGAGGGGTGTCTCATATGCCTCTGTCTGCATATCTGTGTATTCGTTATTTATCTACCTGTCAATCATCCATTAACAAGGAGGAACATGAGAGGAAATCAGGGTGACCTTGACATCCTAGTTGTGGACCTGCACAGAGGATGGTCTCCAATTCTGCACCCAGGGTGACTCTGAGACGTCCAGCTCATGCACCTGCACAGATGATAGTCTCCAATTCCACAGCTACTTCTCTTTAGAGAATCAAGCTTACTGTGTGTAGGTTACAGGTGGTAGAATTTGCCTTAGCTATTCACTTACTGTGTAGAGGAGACTATGAACAGTTGGGTAGAGAGTCCTTGAAGCGTCATTTATGTGAGATATAATGGAAAACACTATTATTCCGTGTATGCTGTTGTAGTTTTTAAAAGTTGGGTACACGTTTTTGAGATGGAGTTTTGCTTCTTGTTGCCCAGGCTGGAGTGCGATAGTGTGATCTCAGCTCACCACAACCTCTGCCTCGTGAGTTCAAGCGATTCTCCTGCCTCAGCCTCCCGAGTAGCTGGGATTACAGGCACATGCCACCATGCCTGGCTAATTTTGTATTGTTAGTAGAGATGGAGTTTCTCCATGTTGGTCAGGCTGGTCTCAAACTCAGGTGATCCGCCCGCCTTGGCCTCCCAATGTGCTGGGATTACAGGCGTGAGCCATCGCACCTGGCTTCATCTTTGTTTTTAATCGATGACTGATTGGCATATGGAGCACACCCCATGGCCTTTGTATTGCCTGTGAAGTCTCAGGTGGTTCTCACTTTCTATAGGGCCAACACAGAGCACTAACCTTTATATGTCATGGAAGCCACCCTTCAGGAAAGCAGGAGGGGTATAGGGGTCATTACGGGGGTTCCTTATTCTCTATTTCCTGCTGTTACGGGAATCTAGTTGTGAGTTCTCTAAATTTAGATATAATTTACTTTCTCTTATAGTATATACACACGTGATTTTAACAATAAGATGTGAGATAAGAGGAGCTTATGTTAGTCCATTACTAACAGACACATTTCAGAATTTTGTCTGCTTTTCTTTCTCCTGAGCTGACCAGGAATGCTGGTCATTCACGAGGAAAGGGCTATGGCTCCTGGGAAGACTTGGCAGCTCGAGCTCTGTGACTACTCATCTTGCAGTAGAGCTACTGTGGTTGCTTCAGTGATCGAAATTATTATTATATATTTTATTAAACTTTAAGTTCTGGGGTACATGTGCAGAACGTGCAAGTTACATAGGTGTACATGTGCCACGGTGGTTTGCTGCACTCATCAACCTGTCATCTACATTAGGCATTTCTCCTAATGCTATCCCTCCTCTAGTCCCCCAGCCCCCAACAGGCCCCAGTGTGTGACATTCCCCTCCCTGTGTCCATGTGTTCTCATTGGGCAACTCCCATTTATGAGTGAGAACATGTGGTGTTTAGTTTTCTGTTCTTGTATTAGTTGGCTGAGAATGATGGCTTCCAGCTTCATCCATGTCCCTGCAAAGGACATGAACTTACCCTTTTTTATGGCTGCATAGTATTCTGTGTTATACATACGCCATATTTTCTTTATCCAGTCTATCATTGATGGGCATTTGGGTTGGTTCCAAGTCTTTACTATTGTGAACACTGCTGCAATAAATATACATATACATATGTCTTTATAGTAGCATGATTTATAATCCTTTGGGTATATACCCAGTAATGGGATTGCTGGGTCAAATGGTATTTCTGGTTCTAGATCCTTGAGGAATTACCACACTGTCTTCCACAATGATTGAACTAATTTACACTCCCACCAGTGGTGCTTCTCCACATCCTCTCCAGCATCTGTTGTTTCCTGACTTTTTAGTGATCACCATTCTAACTGGCATGAGATGGTATTTCATTGTGGTTTCGATTTGCATTTCTCTAACAACCAGTGATGAGCTTTTTCTCTTATGTTTATTGGCCACATGTCTTCTTTTGTGAAGTGGCTGCTCATATCCTTCATCAGCTTCTTGATGGGGTTGTTTTCTTCTTGTAAATTTGTTTAAGTTCTTTGTAGATTCTGAATATCAGCCCTTTGTCAGATGGATGGATTGCAAAAATTTTCTCCCGTTTTGTAGATTGCCTGTTCACTCTGATGGTAGTTTCTTTTGCTGTGCAGAAGCGTTTTAGTTTAATTAGATCCCGTTTGTCAATTTTGGCTTTTGCTGCCATTGCTTTTGGTGCTTTAGTCATGAAGTCTTTGGCCATGCCTTTGTCCTGAATGGTATTGCCTAGGTTTTCTTCTAGGGTTTTTATGGTTTTAGGTCTTACGTTTAAGCGTTTAATCCAACTTGAGTTGATTTTTGTATAAGGTGTACGGAAGGGGTCCAGTTTCAGTTTCCTGCACGTGGCTAGCCTGTTTTCCCAACACCATTTATTAAATAGGGAATCCTTTCCTCATTGTTTTTGTCAGCTTTGTCAAAGATCAGATGGTTGTAGATGTGTGGTGTTATTTCTGAGTCGTCTATTCTCTTCCATTGGTCTATGTACCTGTTTTGGTACCAGTGCCAAAGCATTTTGCATTTCAGTGTCATGCTGTTTTGGTTACTGTAGCCTTGTAGTATACTTTGAAGTCAGATAGCATGAGGCCTCCAGCTTTGTTCTTTTTGCTTAGGATTGCCTTGACTATGCAGGCTTTTTTTTTTTTTTTTTTTTTGGTTCCATATGAACTTTAGTTTTTCCAATTCTGTGAAGAAAGTCAATGGTAGCTCGATGGAGATAGCATTCAATCTATAAATTTCTTTGGGCAATATGGCCATTTTCATATTGATTCTTCCTATCCATGAGCATGGAATGTTTTTCCATTTGTTTATGTCCTCTCTTATTTCCTTGAGCAGTGGTTTTGTAGTTCTCCTTAAAGAAGTCCTTCACATCCCTTGTAAGTTGGATTCCTAGGTATTTTATTCTTTAATGCAATTCTGAATGAGAGTTCACTCATGATTTGGCCCTCTGTCTGTTGTTGGTGTATAGGAATGCTTGTGATTTTTGCACATTGATTTTGTATCCTGAGACTTTACTGAAGTGGCTTATCAGCTTAAGGAGATTTTAGGCTGAGATGATGGGGTTTTCTAAATATAAAATCATGTCATCTGTAAACAGAAACAATTTGACTTCCTCTCTTCCTATTTGAATACCCTTTCTTTCTTTCTGTTGCCTGATTGCCGTGGCCAGAATATCCAATACTATGTTGAATAGGAGTGGTGAGAGAGGGCATCCTTGTCTTGTGCTAGTTTTCAAAGGGAATGCTTCCAGTTTTTCCCCATTCAGTATGATATCGGACATCAAGGTCACCCTGATTTCCTCTCATGTTCCTCCTTGTTAAGCCAACCTTCAGGTCCTATTGCTGTTATCTTTTGAGCATTTCTCAAATCTCACTGATACTGAATTTTTTTTTTTTTTTTTTTTGAGACACAGTCTCACTCTGTCGCCCAGGCTAGAGTGCAGTGGTGTGATCTCGGGTCACTGCAACCTCCGCCTCCTGGGTTCAAGAGATTCTCCTGCCTCAGCCTCTGGAGTAGCTAGAATTACAGGCATGAGCCACCACACGCCCGGCTAATTTTGTATTTTTCGTAGAGATGGGGTTTCGCCATGTTGGCCAGACTGGTCTCGAACTCCCGACCTCAAGTGATCAACCTGCCTCGGTCTCCAAAAGTGCTGGGATTACAGGCATGAGCCACAGCACCCAGCCCCGACAGATATTTCTTAAGTACACATCAGTTTCAGGCATTCTGGGTTGTTTAGACTCCCCCACTTTCAAGCCCAGGCTCCATGCTGCTGCTAACGTGATCTTCAAACCCTGACTGGCCCTCACTGGCCCTTTGCCTAAAATCTTCAAGTGGTTCCCCATCATCTTCAGGACGAAGTCCAAACTCCCAAGCATGATGCTCAAGATGCTATAACCGGCCCCTCCTACCTGACTTCTTGCTCTTCCCCAAATGTGTCATGCTCCCTCATCTTCCTTCAAAATATAGAAGCCAGGCAATATTTCAGGTGCGTGGCCCACACAAATGAACAAAACAGAGATCCTGGCCTGTGTGGACCTCGTATTCTTATGGGAGTAGGTGAGAGGTAGGGAGGTGGATGGTGGAAGAATGGCTGAGTAATTGGGTAAATGGATGAGATGTCTGATGATGGATGGATGGTGGACATACATGGATGATTGATAGGTATGTCGATGATTGGTGAATGCATAGACAGATACAGAGGTTGATAAATGGATGACTGACAGGTCGATAAATAACGAATACACAGATATGCAGACAGATGGACAGAGTGTCGTGTGGTTATAACGGCAGTGGACACATGAGTCAGGATGGGGAACGGGAGGGATTGTATATGAAGAGGTGCCGTATTTCACAATTTTACAGAAACAGGATAAATGAACCATACTTCTCACGTTGGGTCTGGCTTCCCCTCCAGGGCAGAGCCTGCAGTCTCTGAGCTGAAGAGTCGGTCTCCTTTACCCACCCTCCCACTCTCAGCCACTCCCTCTGCCCTGTGCCTCTCTCCCCGACGCCTTCCTGCCTTTGAAGAGGTGAGGTAAGGTGCACAGGTGAACAGAAAACGCGCCCAAAGCCAAGAGATCACCATCTCCTGCTACACCCACCTCTCTCAGGCTTTTATCGAGAGAGAAGAGCGTGAGACAACCACAACCCGCCACACTTATCTCGTAGACTAGTAGCTGGGATTGTGAAGATGGCACGATCTGAAGGTAAACACAGGGTTTATCAACCCTGCTGCAGCATCATGGAGAGAGAATGTAGGAAACAGACGCAATGCTGACTGACGTGGATCTCCTCTCCTGTGTGGTAAGATGTCAGGCCAAAGGTGGGCTTGCATCCTCCTGCGAGGAGCGGCCCCGTGTGATCGTCAGCCATGGGGCAGCATCACTGAATTTCAGTTTCCTCATCTATAAAATGGAAGACAGACCCCCACTGGCTTCCATGAGAACTGAAGCGACGTGAACTCACGCCTGCGTGCACGTTTGGGTGTGTTGTGTGTTCAGACAGGGCGCCTGCACAGTGGCATTGACACACAGTGAGGGAAGCGTTCACCGCAGGCTGAGAGCACGCGGGCACCTCCACACTCCCGAACTCGACAGGGGCCTCCGAGACACTGACGTGAGTAAGAGAAGGTCTCAATATGTGTCAGGGCTTAAGACCTCTGTGAAATAACGGAGGTTGGATTTGGGAGCAAATCCTCCTTCATTCCACCCCCACACGCTTTCCTGGGGTCAAAGCCTCCTTGGAGAAGGCAGCAGGGGGCGCCCTGGAGGTGGCACCAGCTTTTCTTTCAGGCTCTCAGCTGCGTCCTTCTCGTTTGCACGGGTGACACTCCCCGAGGCCATAAAACCTCTCTAGAAAGAAGAGCAGAGCCAGGAGGCCAGGCAGACGGTGACTGAGGAGGATGCAGAAGTGGCTGATCACACGAGCCTGTGTGGACCGAGAGATTCGTTACAGCACGACTGACTCACAGCCTTTCCTCCACCACCGGGTGCATTCGGAGACTCACAGCCTTTCCTCGACCACTGGGTGAGTTCCGTCATCCCTTCGACTCCGTTTTTTCTTCTGACACAGGAGACAACAGTCACAACTTCGCCTGATTATCGTGAGAGCTCCCTGTGACAACAACGTGAGAACGCCGGTGAAGGGCATTTGAAAAACAAAGGGATTCCCAATTGGGTCCATCATCAGCGACAAACCCCTGCCCTTACCCATGCCCTGGGAACTACACAAGAATTCACAGGTAATTTTCTTTTAAAGAAGCAACTTTAACCTACATGTTGGGAAAAACCCAGAGTAATTCAAACATCAATCACAGCCTGAGTTTTCGTTGTTTTTGAGATGGAGTTTTCCCCTGTCTCCCAGGCTGGGGTGCAGTAGCATGATCTCGGCTCACTGCAACCTCCACCTCCCAGGTTCAAGCATTTCTCCTGCCTCAGCCTGCTGAGTAGCTGGAACTACAGGTGCCCGACAGCCGAAGTTTTCTGTTGCTAAATTAATGAAATTTCAGCTGGCCACGCCCAGGTGGCAGTGCCAACTCAGGCTCCAGACAGCCCTGCGCAGATGATATCATAAAACACGGAGGAAAAACAAACAGGAAACACATGACAATGTGTGGTTTTCGTTTCTGTTTAGAAAAGTAGACCTGGAAAACAAATCACTAAGGGTAAGGAAAAGAAAAAACTATGCTCGCAACCACAATTAAAAAGTTATTTAACAGTGACGCCTAAAAATGAGAAAAATTTGGCACGAGATTATAATCTTTTTAATTAGTATGAAATTCTGAATAGTAGACAATGTGGGCTTGTAAACCATGTGAACAGCTATGTACCAGACACTGGGGTCTCCCAGCAGGGTGTGTCTGCACAGAAAGCTGGAGGCCCATCGCGTGCTGGAGGCCCACACCCACCGCGCTTCTGCCTCGCCCAGTGGCTGGGCACAGGCACCTTCCTGGCACAGGCGGCAGATGGACGTATTGTCACACCCCACCCCGTGCTTACCTGATCGATAGTGCTCATCTCGTGACCCTGAAGACCTTCGGCAGTGGTAGCGAGAGGCAGAGGAAGCAGTGACAGGAGCCTGGCGTTCTTACAGCAAAGCTTGGTCCACCCCTGGATTTCAGGGAAAACAGCAGTGAGGTGTGGCTGTGCTCAGCGGACTCCAGCAAATCATTCCCTCCATCCCCACAGCAAAGCGAGAGCTATTCACAGGACTGGGCATGGCGGCACCTCAGAGCCCACAGGCAGGAGGGCCAGGACTGAGGGGAAAGCTCTCCCACAGCCGGGCAGACCCCTCCTGCCTGGACGCCACCAAGGCCCCTCTCACAGCACAAGGGTCCACTGACAGGCAGGGAGAGACACAAACTCAGCCACAGGTAGCAACTGAATTCCTGGGAGTTAGAGAAACAGGGCCCAAGACACAGACTCAAGTTATGACCTTTCATGTAATAAATATACAGAATGGGCTGTATAAATTTTTAAGAAAATTTAAAAGTTATTATTAAAGCAATTTTTAAAACAAATCTTACAGGATAATTTAACAATATAATTCAGGTAACCAGGACATACCGTGAATGTCCAACTTTGCTTATTCCAGATTACTCTCTGGAAACTCACTCCATTTGATGCCAAGTGTTAACAGATTATATTCGACTATGAATTACAATTATTTGATGAATTACAAAAAACGTTAATGTGGTCAGATAAAACGATTCAATGGTATTGGTCAAAACACTGACGTGAATCCACCTGTCACAGTACTGGTTATACTCAGGTAACAACAGGGTGGCAAGGAACACAACTGGACGAAACTAAGCCCCCAAAGGAAGGACATCATCATCACGGTTCCATGAAGAACTGCTCTGATACCGTGGGAAAAATGTCAACTCCACAGTTCCGTGAACGACTCTGAAACCACAGAAAGGACGTCATCCTCACAGTTCCACGAAGAACTGCTCTGAGTCCACGTGAAGGACATCATCCTCACAGTTCCACGAAGAACTGCTCTGAGACCACGGGAAGGACATCATCCTCACGGTTCCACGAAGAACTGCTCTGAGTCCATGGGAAGGACGTCATCCTCACAGCTCCGTGAACTGCTCGAGACCACAGAAAGGATGTCATCCTACATCATCCTCACAGCTCCGTGAAGAACTGCTCTGAGACCATGGGAAGGACATCATCGTCACAGTTCTGTGAAGAACTGCTCTGAGACTGAGCACCAATCACTAACAGATGCTTCTTCAGAAATGGATCAGTAATATTTGATTGAAAGTAAACTAGAAATAAAGTTTTAAGTTAACAAAAGAAATATTTAGTCCTTGGTTTTCCATGATGGGCTCTTATGATAGCTGTAGAGCCTGTGGGCTTCATATTCCTCTTACTCAGGTGGTTTCTGCACGTCAGCTTTTGATGGTGCGTGTGCAGACCCTACGTGTCAGGCTGGTGAGTTCAGAACTAAGTGAAGCACAGCTCCACACCCCGCCTCCGCCCCCCCACACGCCACCACCTCTCCCACACCGCGCCACCGCCCCCCCACACCCCTCCTCCGCCCCCCCACACCCCACCTCTGCCCCCCCACACCCCGCCTCCACCCCCCCACACCCCATCAGCGCCCACACACACATCGCCACCGCTCCCCCACCCCGCCACCGCTCCCCCATCCCATCACAGTTCCTCCATCCCGTCATTTTGTCAAATCTCACGTGCTCTTCTTTCAGCAGCATCCAAATCACCATCAGTTCCTGAGGAACAAACTGCTGCTACCAACCTCTCATAGTCGTCATCTACAAATGATCTTTTAAAAACGATCTTCAATTACCTTTTTATCAAACAGATGCATTTTAGGAAATCAAAGAGTGTTATCAAGTCTCACATGAAAAACAGAAGTTACCTGGCACTTACGTTCATAAACACGGACTTACCACATGACTTCCTGAATTGTCCTTTAGACACCACCCCTTACACCACTGTGGTCATCACGTCAGGGTCTGCAGTGTGCTACAAATACCGTCCTATCTTACACTTTTCAATGATTCTGGAGTTAATATTTTTTATCTATTTTCCATTATCCTGGCTTTCAATGTACCTATCGCCAACCCTTTCACAGTTCTTCCACAGAACTGGAAAACTCTTTCCCACACTTTCTCACCCACGATTGAACACTGATAACCTGGTGAGGATCTCTGTTTGATTTTCCTGGAAATCCTCTTGGAGCCCCGCCCCGATCCCCAATGTGCTACTGTCACTGGACCATGCCTTTTCTGCCACTGGCCGTGCTGCTCGTTATGTTGGTCACTCGTTCTCAGCCCCTTGACGCCCCCTCCTCTCCCCACTCTCCCATCCTAAAGGAGCACCTCCAGTGCTTCAGAAAAGGCGGATGAGAAGGAACACCTGGGGGCCCCGCGTGTCCGAAAGTGCTTTTCTCTCTACCCCAGTGAGACTGGGTCTTTCTCCTAGATACAGACTTCTAGGTGAAAGTTACTTCTATTCATTGCCTTTCGTTTCCATTATTGGTGAGACGTTAAACGTCATTCTGATGCTATAATCTTTACATAATATCCATTCTTTTCTCTTCTTTGATAATGTTTTCTTCATTCCTACAGGAGGAGCTGCAAGCCAGGTTGCAATATCTATTCCTTTCTTTTCTCCCTCGATAATCTTTTATGCTGTAAACCAGGTTTTTCTTCTCATGGAGGCACACGACCAAATCTCTCCCCCAGGAGGGCTTCATCAGGGCTGTTTCATTTGCCTGAAGAGTCCTCTCCTCTCCTGTTTCATAACCAAACACAGGCACGTTCATCCCTCTGGGTTGGGCTGTTTTCTCCACACGTGTGCTCTGACCTGGGGCCTCTGTTTTCAGTACCACCCCCAAATCTGGAGCCTCCCCAGTTTAATTTCTCCAGATAACACACATGGCTGGGAAGAGGGGGAAGAGGGGGAAGAGGGGGAAGGGGGGAAGCGGGGGAAGACGTGGCCGCCTGCTTCCTGGACACCGTTCTCTGGGCTCCACATGTACAGCACCCACGGCTGTCCCCCGTGTCTGCATCTTGGCTTTCTCCATTTTGCTAAATGATGAACCACAAATTCCTCTACTTGCTTCTCCTGTGCTGTGGACTTACAGTCACTGACATCTTAGCACAGTTTGGAGAAACAGAGACAAATGCACACTTCCAAGTTGCCAAGTGTAACCAGTGGCCAGACGTTTTTAATGCTTCACTTTCAATCTCAATACCGCACGTATCCAGTCCATGCAAACACGTTTCTCTGGATTACCTCCAACCCTAATCTCCTCTTGGTGCCCACAGATGACGGTGTACGGAGTTCTAGGCTGCTGCTCGGCTTCTCACAGGCGTTATGTGTCTGATCTCAGAAAGCTACTCTGCATACCAACCTTGTGAATATCTCCTCTCAGGTGGAAATGCAAAGTTGCAACAAAAGTTTGAAAACAAATGAATAAAACGGAAGACTAGCTTCTACAGGTTGCAATAAGACAGCAAAAGAAACAAGTATGAACATGCACGTTTCCTTCATTCATTTTCCTCTGACGTCATCCCAAATGAAGCTGGAGGTGGCTTAATGGTGTGTTCTGGGAAGAAGAAAGCCACAATTGAATAGGCGTCGCTCAACTGGATTCCAGCCTGTGACCGCATAGGACCCAGGGGCAGCAGAGGGGCATCCCCACTGTCCCCATCACAGGGAAACCAAGTGCGGCTGCTGGAACAGATGCCTCTTGGTAGCAAGAACACAAATGATCCCTAAGATGCACAACTACAGCATAGTGCTCTGCGCTGCTGAGAGCTCACGTTCATAGTCACGTTCCGTTTAGGGAAGTGTGATTGAAAATCAGCTCTCAGGAGTGTCACAAAGACGGGAAGCCTCTTGACAGAAGGTGTGGTCAGGGGAGAGAGGCCAGCATGGTCCCTGGGAAGGGGGTGTCCCCAGGGAGATGGGGTGGCTGCCTTCAAACATTCAAGCCTCTTCAGGCAAAAACACGGCCGAGATGGAGATAAGGTTCTCCTCCCAGGAGCACCTGCTCAGCTTTCATGCGTTGGCCACGCGAGGCACCAGCTCAGCTCCGGTCCTCCGGGGACGGGAGATCCCGTGCCTGTAGTCAGGGCCCCGATACATCTGGCTCCTGTCACTCTGTGGGATCCTGGGCAAGTTCGTGACCTTTCCCAGGCTCAGCCTCCTGCCTCTGGATAGAAGCGGCAGTGACAGCTAACACTGCAGCCCCGGCCTAAGCACCTGAGAGTCGCTCATTCATCAGCACGAACAGCACCAGGCCGGGACTGTCACTCCTGCTGTTTTCTTGGCAAGGAGACACAGGTGCAGAAGCCATCCGTGTGTGTGGGCGGCCCGGGGCCACCTTTGTGCGGTGTCTGAACATTCTCCTATGAGAATTTGCAACGGGAATGACCCCTCTCCCCAGGCCTTTCCGCACCCTCTTCTGAGGGCAGAGGCTGTCGTTTTCCTGGTACCTGTGGTGGTGCCCAGAGCCTCTATCTCTGTTACACGAACAAAATCTGGCTTGTCTTGAAGCCAGGAAGAGACCTTTTTGGAATCCCATTGTGAAAGTTAGTATTTGGACAGATTATTCTTTTAAGAAAATATGGAAACTGCTAGAATTTCAGGTCCAGAAATGAATCTTGGAGCAAAGAAAAGCCTGAAGGGGGGGGGCAGGGGAGGGGAGAGGAGAAGAATGGGGGCAAAGGGAGGGGTTGGAGGCGGGGGAAGGGGCGGGGGGAAGGGGCTGCAGGGAAAGGGCAGGGGGAGGAAAGTGGGAGGGAAGGGGCAGGAGGAAGGAGCGGGGGGAGGGAAGGGGCAGGGGGAAGGGGGAGTGGAGAGAGGGAAGGGAGAGGGGGAGAGGGGAGAAGGGAGGTGGGGGGAGAAGGGAGGGAAGGGGGGAGGGGTAGGGGGAATGAGGAAGGGGGAAAGGGGGAAAAAAAACTCATGGGAGAATGAGAGAATACTATGATTAACATTAGCAGCAACAATCTTTTTTTTTTTTTTTTAAGATGGAGTCTGCCTCTGTTGCCCAGGTTGGAGTGCAGTGGTGCGATCTCAGCTCACTGCAAGCTCCACCTCCCGAGTAGCTGGGACTACAGGCACCCGCTACCATGCCCAGCTAATTTTTTTGTATTTTTAGTGGAGACAGGGTTTCACCGTGTTAGCCAGGATGGTCTCAATCTCCTGACCTTGTGATCCACCCGCCTTGGCCTCCCAAAGTGCTGGGATTACAGGCGTGAGCCACTGCACCTGGCCTAGCAGCAATAATTTTATAAAGGTAGATGACATGGATAATTGTTTAGAAATATTAAAATTACCAAAATTGACTTAAGAAGAAAGAGAAAACAAGCTGCAAACTGGGAGTACATATTTGCAATACAAAAAACCGGCAGTGAAATTACCCATAATATGTAATGGCTATAAATTAACCAGAAAAACAAACACTCCACTAGAACAATGTGCAAAAATGAAACTAGACCGGCTAATAAACACAGGAAACATGATTAACCCACGAGTAACCTTGCAAATGCAAATTTAACAGAATGCCACATAGCATGTGTCTGCAGGGCGAATATTACAAAGCATTCCATTTGAACTGAGGTCTACAGCAATTGTGGAGCAACAGGGACTCTCATTTGCCACACCTGGGACTATAATTGGTCACCACCACTTAGATGAGCAATTTGGTAACAACAGTAAATTTAAAAACATACATAAACATGATTAGTAATTTCACTAATAGATCTTTTCCCAGACGAAATCTCACGTAGAAGGAAATAACAAATAAGCAATGTTTGTGGACCAAAGAATTAGAAACAATGTAAATTTCTATCAGTGGGAGGAAAGATAAACAAATTATTATATGTCACTGAAATAAAATGTTATAAGATAGCAAAAACAAAATGAGCTAGAGCCACAATCATCCACCTGAATGAATCTCAAACACAAAATACAGAGTAAAAACCTAGGTGGCAGAATTATAATCAGAGAATGAAACTGTGTATAGATTTTAAAATACTTACAAAACAACACTATGCCTTTCTGTGGACTAAATATGTCCATAAGGAATACACTTACGAATGCCTCACACCTCATACATGCATTTCCGCTCAGCTCAGACAACCACCAAGCTGGGCAATTTTACTCCCAGCTCACAGGACAGGAGTGGGAATAACAGACCAAAATTCAGAATCTCTTTACTTCTGCAGGGAAAGGAATGGGAGGGAGGGAAATAAGATTAGGAAGGGGTCCATGGCGGGCAGGGACAATTCATCTCTATTCATTTTTTTTTCCCTCCTTCCTTCCTTCCTTCCTTCCTTCCTTCCTTCCTTCCTTCCTTCCGTCCTCCCTCCCTCCCTCCCTCCCTCCCTCTCTCTCTTTCTTTCTTTCTCTTTTCTTTTTTTCTTTTTTTTGTGAGACAGTCTCACTCTGTCACTCAAGCTGGAATGCAGTGGTGCGATCTTGGCTC